CCAAGTAGCTGGAACCACAGGCGCCCGCCACAACGCCTGGCCATTTTTTGGTTGCAGCCATCATTGTTGTTTGGCGGGCCCGGGCTGGGGAATCGAACCTGCCACCTTAGGTGTATGTGGCTGGCGCCTTAGCCACTTGAGCCACAGGCGCCGAGCCCGTTTCATGATTCTTGAGTCTCTGCTGCACTTTTGAGATAAGAGCAGTAGTCACATTGCATAACTTCTGGTTTTCCATTAAAAGATTCCCACCCAAAATTACCATTCTTCCCTGGGTCCCTCCTGTTTCTCTGTCACACATTGGTGTGACACATTCCCGCTTCCTCTTTACTAAGAAGAAATCCCATGTTCCCTGGCTCCTCTCACACCTGAGTTTCCTCATTGCTCAAGTCTAACTCCTTACCCTTTATTAAGTAGAGAAGTCCGCAGCCATATTTTAGCACTATTGGCCCTGTGAGGCATAGCAAAAAATCTGGCTACAGCAACCCAGTGAGACCTTGACCAGGGTCCTGGGAAATAGAGCTCACTCCACTGCCCTGCAAATTATCACATCCTCTCCTGGGGAGCTGCAAGAAGAAACAGCTCCCTGCAGTGCCTCTGGACTTGTGCTCCAGACCAGTCTGGCCGCCAGAACTTTCTGGATGTTGAAAATAGTCCTAAATCCACACTGTCCAGTCCGCAGCTACTAGCCACGTGTAGCTATTCAGTACCTGAAATGTAGTTAGTGTGACGGAAAACTTGAATTTTGGGTTGTTTTTAGTTTAAGTTTAAATTTATGTATAACATGGGGACTACGTTAATATGGTTAATAATATATTAATAATATGGTTATAATATGGTTAATAATATACGTTAATACGGTTTAACGTATTAACGTAGTTTAAGTTTAAATTTATGTATAACATGGGGACTACGTTAATATGGTTAATAATATATTAATAATATGGTTAATAATATATTAATATATATTAATAATATATAACCACTGGGGCGGCGCCTGTGGCTCAAAGGAGTAGGGCACGGGCTACATATGCTGGAGGTGGCAGGTTCAAATCTGGCCCCAGCCAAAACCTGCGATATATGTATATATATTAGATACTTGAAAATTGCAAAGAGTAGATTTTAAATGTTCTCAACATGAAAAAAATAATAAGTATATGAGGTGATAAATATGGTAATTAGTTTGATTGGGCCATTTTAAAATGGGTACATATATCAATACGTGTAAGGTTTGTTTGACAACTAAAACAATAAAATAAAAAATAATTTTTAAAATTTAAATAGTCACACGTGGCTACTGACAAGTGTGGACAGTGGGCTCAGCTGTAGGGGGAACTGTCTTCCTTCCCAGCCTCCTTTTATTCAGTCCCTTCTCCTGCCTCCCTCCAGGTGGGGTTCCTCCTCCTGTCAACAGGACAGAACGGCCACCTGTCATTCTAACAGAACCTCACCCCCACTCAGGTGTCACCAGAACACATCTTTTATTAATAATGGAAAAAGAGCAACCTTGATGCTTATGGAAATGAGATCTCCAGCATAGGAGACCATGAAAATCCCTAAGGGCTATTCAGCTGCCCAGAGGAGAAATCTGACATCTTCTCCCTGCCTCTGAGGGGCAGGCCCCGCTCCTGACAGGATGGGCAGAAGCTGAGGTCTGGGAAGCTGGAGAGACCTGTGTCTCTCACTGGAGCAGATCTCCCCGCAAATAGTGGGTCTCTGCCCTGCAGACCCCCTCCCTCCTCTCCCTGCCCACTCCCTCCCCCGAGATTCTTCATCCTAGGCTGAGGAATCTGAGCTGAGGCTGGGTTTCCACTCAAGCCGGTGCCTCTGCCTAGAAGACCTATGCTTTCTGCCCACTCACTGAGCTAATTCCTACACTCCATATATACTCAAGCCAAGTTTCCCCTATGCAGGGAAGTCTCCAACACCCCTTCCCACACTCAGCCTGAGTTACTGACTGCCCTTCCACTCCCCAAGACTCTCTCCCCTCACTTGATCACATGCTCTTTGCAGAGCTGCATCTTCTTCATCTTTTAATATTCTTTCCTTTTTATATACAGTCAGCGTTTGCTGAGCACGCCTAAATGCCAGGCACTGTTCTGAGTGTGGCACGCATAACAATGCATGTAATCCTCACAACCACCCTGTGATTGAAGCTGAGGCACAGAACAGTCAAGTAAGGTGCCCAAGGTCATATAGCAAGTTAAGTGGCCCAGCCAGGATTTGAACTAAGGAATTCTGGCTCCAGAGCCTGCACTGTTTTGTTCTTGTTTTTGTTTTTGAGCTAGAGTCTCACTCCATTGCCCAGTCTAGAGTGTTGTGGCATCAGCCTAGCTCACAGCAACCTCAAACTCCTGGATTCAAGCAGTCTTCCTGCCTCAGCCTTCCTAGTAGCTGGGATTACAGGTGTGCACCACATGCCCAGCTAGTAGAGACCTGGTCTCAAGTTCCTCTCTATTTTTAGTAGAGACCTGGTCTCGAATTCCTGAGCTCAAAGGATCCTCCTGCCTCGGCCTCCCAGTGTGCTAGGATTATAGTTGTGAGCCACTGCTCCCAGCCTAGAGCCTGCACTGTTAATTCGTCATTGCCTCTCCAGAATTACCAGACATTCTAGGATGCACCCCTTTGCCTCCTGTATGATTTCCTTTTCTGGCAGTGCAGTTCCAGCTACAGATAGTATCCCCAGACTTCATCCTCTTTTTCAGAAACAGAGGTGTGAGGACCTCAGTCTTTAGCCCAGTTAGGCCCTTGGCTGACCTGATCATAGTTTTGCAGACAGGCTAAGAAGGATAGCAAAGTTTAAAAGGCAACATTAGTGAAACGGGCAAACCTGAGTTCACATCCCCACCATATCCAGAGACTTTGGCTGGCCACTCCCTCCTCTCAGGCTGGTTTCCTTCCTTAACCTCTCTGAGCCTCACATTCCTCATTTGTAAAATGGGAATAATAGTAATATCTACCTCACAGGGTTTTCTGACAGATTCAAAATATTGATACGAAGTGCCCAGCATATAATATGCAAGTAATAAGTAGCGGTTATTGTTACTACTAAAGTTTGAGCATCTTTTGTGCCAGACACTATGCTAAGCCCTAAGAGATAAGAGAACAAAGATGAATCAGAGAAGCACAAGGACATCGTTCATAAAGATTCAGGGTAGGGCTCGGCGCCTATAGCTCAACTGGCTAAGGCGCCAGCCACGTACACCTAAGGTGGCGGG